TTATGGTAATCTTTGGAAAATCCCAAAAATCCGCTTCTCGAATCAGACGAAATGCAATATTGTATCCGATAGGATCCATAACCGTCTGAATACGATTCGATTCCGTCACCAGGAATCGAAAGGATTTTTGTCGGATTCCGATAGAATTCGGCATGGGATCCGACTACGGGATTGGTCGACTTGGGCATAGATAACAGATAAGCAGTATAAATGAGTATGAATGAAAGTTTATCCAGTACCTTCGGGATGCATCTCTCAAGATTCGATGTTATCATTTGCAGTAATTTAATAGTTAAGAGAAAATTTTTTATCCATTTCTATATATAAAATGAGAATTATCACGATAGGTTTTTAACTCCATTTAAAACATCCTCAAATCTTCTTCTCGTCAACTGAAAAATAAAAATAAATGTTCTAAACAAACTTTTATTTCAATAATGATTATCAGTCAATTGAATAAAAAATAATTCTCTTTCAATATATATGTGTTTTACTTATTACAACTGCTACGGGTAATTATGTTTTTTGTCTACAGGCAGTTCGTCTACAGATTATCGTCTAGAAATTTTTGTCTATGTAACATTTTGTCTATATGACTGTTCGTCGATACACATTTAGTCTAAAATTATTTTGTCTACACACAACTGTCTACAGCAAATTATGCTTCGTAGACTGAATTCACTTGATAACAGGAGTATTAGGACAATGTTTTTAGAATTTTTTTCAATAACATCAATATGAAACAAAAGATTGTTCCAAGAGACAAGTTACAGAAACGAATAAAAAGAACAACATATCTAATAATTAATAAATAGAAATAAGACTATATATGAATTCCTAATATTTTTAGCAATTAAAAGTGAAAGTCCTTCAAGATATTCACTGAGTACGATTTGTTTCTTATTGTATTGATGAGTTAAGTTTTCTAACCATTGTTGAGTTTCACAAGGTTTATTGCTATTTTTCTTTATTTTTCCCATCTTAACATGTTGAACAGTTTGTTTTAAATAAACCTCTTCTTTTTGGAGAACTTGTATGAAGTGCCAGATATTAGGGTGCTTCTTTTGAATTCGATGTGCAAAACGATTATGCCAACCTGTATAAGTTCAAAATTTTACTGAAAATATAAAAATCAAGGAAAATATTACCTTCGGCTATACTATTTGTTCTAATATTTAACTCTGAAACATTCCACAATTTTAATGGTAATGATTCCATCCAAAAAGATTCGTAATAATCAAACAAGTAGCGTTCGTCGTGCCGACTCACTTCACCCTCGACTGTGGAAGACAGATATACTGTCTGCGTTTGCTATTAATGAGGCGAATCAATCTAGCAACTTCACGTACGATGAAACGGTAAAACCTTTTCTGTTCGACTATTTATTAACTCTCACAAACAAAATAGCTTATTGTCTTTGTAAAACAAATGTGAGGATATAAAAGATCTGTATTTACTGTGAATTTATCACCAGTAACGCTGGTCAGGTACTCTCGCTGAACACTCGGCTGATTTTCTTCCCATTGTACTCTTGTCATTAGGACTACACAAAAGATGTAACAACTCTCTCATCTCGCAGTCGGTCGTCGGCGTCCCTCCGGTCCGC